ATGTCATTGATTTTTGGTATGCAGTTTCATTAGGATGGGCACATCTCATTTCCATGGAAATAATTTGGCCCCGCCCCCTCAGTCATGGTCCATTGAATCTGAAACTTATGTATTGTTTTCATGTTCAAGTTTGTGATTAGGTCAGTTTAATAAGAACCTTTGATGGTAAGTCATTGATATTTAGTATGCAGATTTATTTGCAGTTGCACATCTCATTTCCATGGAGATTATTTGGCTCCCCCCTCAGTCATGGTCTGTTTACTTTGAAAATTAATACAAGTTTAAGGAGAACCACTTATGGTAAATCAAAGATGTTTGGTATGTAGTAGTATAAGCATTGGGCATTACATTTTCATGAACTTCAAGATTTTTTGGGCCTGTCTCTTATGTCATGGTCTGTTGATTTTGAAAATTAATTTCAGTTAAAAGGGAACCACTTTGGCACTTAAAATAAGTCAATGACATATTGTACACAATTATATAATCATTTGCCCATCTCATTTCCATTGGTATTATTTGGCCACACTCACTCTGTCATGTTAAGATTCAAATTACAAAATTTATTGTTATACTATCCAAAGTATCAGGCCTCTACAATAACTTTTTTTTCAACTTGTCCAGTAGGACAAGTACATACCAAAACTTACTTGTCCGAATGAAACTGTAACTTGTCCAAAAAAAATCTTAATAATAACCTTTTTTGCATTTTAAGTTGATTGAATTAAAACAATAGAACAGAATTTTATTTTAACATATCTTTTGCAATACTTTTCAAAAATATGAGTCGAGAACAACTGAATCTAGTCATGTCACAGGACTTAGGTTCTAGTTTTCATCAATGCCAAAGTCTCATCAGACTCTGCATATGAGGCACCGTCTGATAGGATTACCAATGTACACTCATTGGATTTGTATCCTGGTTTTTTAAGTTGAAAAAAATTTATTCAAATACAATCAATAAAAAAAAGAAGATGAGGTATGATTGCCAATGAGACAACTCTCTGCAAGAGATCAAATGACACAGAAATTAACAACTATAGGTCACCGTATTGCAAGTATTGTTTTTTTCTACATATGATCAAATATGATTTTGTGAATTTTATGGTAAATAATTTCTTCATTTTTATTTAAAAAATATTTTTGTTAAAAAAATTACCGGTATGGTATTTATTATAAAGCAACAGAATAAGGTAGGAAAATGAGGTACTGATTTGTCTTGGTCCCGTAATGTCTCCTGCGTTACCAAACTGTCTATTAATTATGTCTATTATTGCAAATCCCAATGAAAGTTTTCCACAGTGCCACCTCTATCTTGACCAGGTATTTAAACTTTTGAAAGTTCACCTGTCCTATTGAATAAATACAATAGCTATTGTTCTCCATGTAGTTTTTTCACTGGGACCTTTAAATTTCTTCTAAGAGAAATCTATCACTCATTGATTAATTTACCTGAGTAGAAAAAAATATTGTAAATAGAGGAAAATACATGTTTTATACTCAAAACTGCATGTGATGTTTTATTTATTCAATATTGATAATATATTTTCAATCGGTTGAATGTAAACAGTGATGCAAACATTAATAAGATATAAAAAAGAAGATGTGGTATGATTGCCAATGAGACAACTCTCCACAAGAGATCAAATGACACAGAAATTAACAACTATAGATCACCGTACCGCCTCCAACAATGAGCAAAGCCCATACCGCACAGTCAGCTATAAAAGGCCCTGAAATGACAATGTAAAACGATTCAAATGAGAAAACTAACAGCCTAATTTATGTACAAAAAATGAACGAAAAACAAATATGTAACACATAAACAAACGACAACCACTGAATTACAGGTTCCTGACTTGGGACAGACACAAACATACAGAATGTGGCGGGGTTAAACATGTTAGCGTTGATTTCTGTTATATTAATAATATATTAATAATATATTTTCATTCAGTTTAATATAAACATTGATTCAATCATAAAAAGTTGATTTCTGACAAAACTTTCAACATTGTTCCTTTTAAAAAAAAATTTGTTTGACATAAATAAACATTAAAATTATGATGTTCAAATTAAGATCTTCTTAAATGTATTCTATAACTAAACAAAAAAAATCAAATTTCAATAGGAACATTGATAAAACTTTTGTTAGAAATCAACTTTTTATGATTGAATCAATGTTTATATTAAACTGAATGAAAATATATTATTAATATTGAATAAATACATCATCACACGCATTTAATGAGTATAAAAAAAGTATTTTTGTCTTAATTACACCTTATGTTAGAATCCTGGGTATTGATTGGTTGATAGCCAGTGTATTTTTCACCAGTTTACTGTTATCAAATGAATATCGTTCATTTTTTAACGTCGCCGGGGTATATGCAAAAAGGATATGCCTTTTTTACCCTCTCTGCCGTGGTATTTGCCAAAAAATACTCTATCCGACTGGACGCTTGTAATGTCACGATCATCAATGTGTTTTTGAACGTTAACATTCGGTGTAATTAAACAGATATAGCATGTTCTTGAGGGGTATTTGCGAAAAATACCAGTCTTGAGAATGAATTTCCCTCTCCTTATGGCTCGCGAAATTTAACATTCTCTCGACTGGTATTTTTCACAAATACCCCTCCTTAACATGATATATCTGTTCAATATATAAGAATTTTTTTTTACTCAGGTAAATTAATCAATGAGTGATAGATTTCTCTTAGAAGAAATTTAAAGGTCCCAGTGAATAAACTACACAGAGAAAAATATATAGCTATTGTATTCATTCAATAGGACAGGTGAACTTACAAAAGTTTAAATACCTGGTCAATATAGAGATGGCACTGTGGAAAACTTTCATTGGGTTCGCAATAAATATGTCTCCTACGGTGCCAAACTAACTGTCTATTAAACTTGGAACCGAATCGGATCAGTAAGACTGGTTTCCGAGAACTGTTAAATAGTACCTGACAAAGATCCAGTTTTAAATTATATCGATTGCAAGTAAACATGTCAAATTAATTCTTGTTTTTATCTTCTTTTCTTGTTTTTGGTTTATAATTACTTTGTTCATCAAAGTTGGATTAAATTTATTTTCTGCAGAATAATTTTACTTGTCCCGTCGGACAAGCTTGATATAGCTTTTACTTGTCCGACCTTTTTTTCCTCTGGTACCGGACAATCGGACAAGCGTTATTGTGGAGCCCTGAGTATACAGCAGGCGAGGCATATCTCTGTGTCAACAGTTTATTTTTTCATTATCAGGGATGATTCCAGGTGTTTTTTTGAATGGGTGCCTTGAACTTCAAATTGGAAATTTTCATCCCAATTGGGAATTTTTTTATCATAAAATCTTAGACGAAATAACATTATTTTCCTGTAAAAACGGAAAATGTATTAAGTTTTACACTGACTGCTGTATAATATATATGTTAAAGGTTACCATAGCTAAGATGCAAGCCTTCAAAAGATAGTGCATCATGTGCAATGATCTTAATTAGATCATAAAACAACTTTTCTGGTCTCAATCCACTAAATGTCAAGCGATCTGGTAATCATATATATCATAATCAGTAGCCTATCCAGGATTATTCCAAATGTTACAACTTCTTTTAACAGCTAACATATACCACTGAAAAAAATCATCCATTGGGTAATTTTTTCAACAACTGGTCATCTTTATAAATTTACCTTGATTTAAATGGATTTCAAATTGGACTGGCCAACTGTTGTATTCAGAAAAGGAATTACAAAAAATTTAGAACTTATTTGATTGACAATTTTTTTTGGTGATTGTTGCTTGCTGTTTAATATGTAGAAGGTTGCCATAGTTTTACTTTAGTTGTTACCCTAAGAAACAGGAAATGTAAGCATTGAACCATTGTATTATAATATTTAATTATTTGGATCATCTCTATTTTTTTTTTCTGAATTGGGAATTTATGTTCACTTAAATTATTTTGGGCCCTAAACTATATAGTAGAATCATCCCTGATAATGTTCCTTATTAAATTCTGCATCCATTGGGTAACATTGAATTTTTTGGGGTTTATTTTAATGTTTCTGAGCTATGAGGGCCTAAGTGTAGCATTCCTGTCTACAGAAATTATGCATTTTATTCCCCCTGGGCTAACAGTCGGGAGGGGGCATATTGCGATACCCCTGTCCATCTGTCTAATCCTAGGGTACATGATTGTGCAGAAAATTCCTTTTCTATTTTTTAGCAAAGAAGTTTTTATTTTTTAGTTAAATGTATTTATGTTTTTGGGTACATGGTGTTGTATGGCAGCCAGGATAAAGTACACATGTGTAATTTAAATGTACAATCATTTTATTGGTGTAATACATGTGTATCTTCATAAAGATATACTTGTAGATGTAAAAAGATTTTATTAGGGCCAAAGACCCAAGCCTTTTCTGCCAACTAAAAAGGTCTGAACATTGATGATTGATTGATCAAACATGTTTTTGTGTATTCATATGCATATATATGTAAAAGGAGATGTGGTATGATTGCTAATGAGACAACTATCCACAAAGATCAGACATAAAAACATATCAAACAATGAAAAAAACTCACACCATATGGAAAGCATAAAAAGGCCCTTGTAGACAGAATGTGAAACAATTCAAAGTCAAACAAGAGAACAACAATCAAATTTACATTAAAATAATAAACAACTAATATAAACACAGAGACAATGACAAAACTCTGAAATACTTGCTCCTGGCATGGGACAGTCAAATAATGTATGTGGCGGGGTTAAACATGTTCATGATGTTTGTGAGCACTCAACTCTATAAAACCTTGGACAGTGTCTGATAACAACACAACATATGAACAAACAATAAAACTTAGTTGAAAACTCAATAGATCTGCACTTCACGAACACAAAATAACAAAATGACAAAATACATAGCATTTTCCTTTGTCAACTTGCTGTGCTAGCATATCTCCTCAGTTGACTACATGAATACCATGAATACAAGATTTTATATTTTAGGTGTACGCTTTATAATGCTAAAGGTGAGCCATCTATTTGGGAAAATTTTAGAGGTTTGCAACGTGCAATTTCAAATCCTGATATACGATTAATGAAAAGAGGTCTACCAGAAGAATTCTGTTCCAGTTGTGAGGAAACAGAATGGCCAGTTGTTTCTATTGTGGAGGTACAAAAATGAATAAGATCAGAAAAATTGTTAAGTATTCATAAAATGGCTTTCACATAATTTTAATAATTAATCAATCTGGATAATTTTTAGGAATTGTTTAATGTAACAATTGAGAAATCCAAAGTTTTCAAGATTGCTAACTTATATCTATGTCAACAGTATATAAATTGTAGAATAGTAGGGAATATGAGGCAGGTGTGACCTGTGAAGAGGACAAAGTCTTATTTGTATTATAGTCATGATAATAGTTAGTGTAATTGTTGGTAAATAAGACATAACAATTTTTTAATGATTCCATTTCCCGCGTTTAACGCAACTTTACAATCAAATCCGAAAAAGGAAGCAGAAGTTTGAAAATTTGACAGACAGATTTTTATACGACCGCTAAAAAATTTTGTTGTCGTATATTGGTATCACGTTGTCGTCGTCGTCGTCCGAAGACAGTTGGTTTCCGGACAATAACTTTAGTATAAATAAAAAGAAATCTATGAAATTTAAACACAAGGTTTATAACCACAAAAGGAAGGTTGGGATTGATTTTGGGGGTTATGGTCCTAACAGTTTAGGAATAAGGGGCCAAAAAGAGGCCCATAAAGGCATTTTTCTAGTTTCCAGACAATAACTTGTGTTTAAGTGTTAGGATCTCTCTGAAATTATACTACAATTTTTTCTCATTTCAGATTTCAGAAATTAAATAAAATTTCTTCACATATTTGGGGGGGGGGATTTTTTTTGGGGGGAGGGAGGGGGGGTTCAATACGCAACAGCATAGTGTATTGCACAAAAGCAAAAAAAGAATGGGTTAATTTTTATTTATTTTTGGGGCGGGGGGGTCAATTCGCACAGGCACTGTGTACGTGTATTGCACAAAAGCAAAAAATTGAATATAAATTCAAATCATATAACCAATTCTAAGTTCTTTGATTACAGTTATTCTGTGTCAGAAACCTATTATGTGTCAAATATTTAATTACAATCCAAATTCAGACCTGTATCAAGTGCGAATATTGTGTCCATTTTTGCCCCAACTGTTCAGGGTTGGACCTCTGCGGTCGTATCCAGCTGCGCCCAGCGAAGCAATTTATTAGTGACTTGTACCCATATTAAAAACATTTTGGACTGATTTTTCTACAGTAATTGAGGACTTCTATAAATTTAGCTACAGCTTGGGCTCAGATTTCTGTGTACAGTGGGCAATCATCGGCTCACTTTTTTGTTTTGACTATCTTTTATGCAAATATATAACAACAAATAATTTCTTCTTTTAGGTAAATATGCCTTCAGATTTGAAGTTTATGAATGAATCTGGAAGGGATTCAGTCGATGAACTTGCTAGGAAAATGGAGTTTACAAAACTGAAACCAAAAAGTTCATCTTCAGAATCAACATCCTCAGACAATTTGTCCGCTGATCTCTCAAGAGTCTGTAGAAAGAAAAAAAGTTCTTCAAATGTGACCATCAGCTCACGATTCCTACCTATATACAATAGTAATAAGGTTTTTGGCAAGCATGCAGGAGAATTGCTATTTGACCTGAACAGATGTTTAAAAGACTCAAATGCAAAAGTTGGAAGAATGCCTGGCATGATAATTGATGGTGTAAAGGTGAAATTTTTAAGAAATGAAATTTGAGAAGCTTTTTACTTCAAAAGAAAAAAAAATATGATTAAGTTTGTAGGTTATCCTCCCCCTATCCACCCGTTGAAATAAGCAGACACTTTTTTTAGCTTACCTAGTCAACATTCAAGATACATCATTCTTCAAAATATTTGAACCAAAGTTGTTACATGGTTAGCCCTTGTCTAGACCAAGAAGCCTATTGATTTTTAAGATCATAGGTCATGGTCATGGTTGAACATAAAAATTTTTTTTTCTGGTGAACACACTAGAGAAAGCATCCTTCAATAGATTTGAACCAACCTTGGTGTGTGATTAGCCCTTGTCATGATCTGGAAGCCTATTGATTTTCATCAAAGGTCAAGGTCATGGTGGAACATAGAAATTTTTTGTTGTGAACACACTAGACTGCATCCTTCAATGATTTTAATCAAACTTGGTACATGGTTAGCCAGCTGAGTCAAGATAAAGAAGTCCATTGATATACAAGTTCATAGGTCAAAGTTCGAGATCATGGTAGAACATAGAAATTTTTGGTTGTGAACAAACTAGAGACAGGGCAAAGGGATATGCTACCCTCTGCATTGTCCTTGTTACATTATCTTAACCACTTGAGTAAATGTGTTCAGTAATACAAAATGTCAAATGTACTGTTATGACTGTATGAACAGATCAAGAAATAAATGTAGTTACATGCTGCTATTGCACAAAAAAGTGAACAAAGTTTATAATACAATTTCAAGAAAGGTAAGATTTTCATCACCAGCTAGCTTTTGAAACTTCAAGAAAATTTTTTATTTCATACATTTAAACAGCATTTCCATTTCCACACTAAGGTAACTTGCAAATGTACAGATTTGCGCTAAAATCCAATACTGTGGATTCATTATTATTCGTTGGATACCAATTTTCGTGGATTTCGTGGTTACCCGGGAACCACGAATTCAAATGTCCAACGAATTACAAATTTTGTTTAGGAATTTATGCAGACTTTGGCAAAACCACGAAATCAAATATCCACGCAAATGCAAGTTTTTCCTCAATCCACGAAAATTGGTACCCACGAAAATAAATGAATCCACAGTAATGTAGGAAGAATTACATATTTACAATGGAGTGACCCCAAGATATTTCATTTGACACCTAACATTTTTGCCCAAACTGCAGTCCCAGTGGGGCCAGTGAGTGGGCTATATTGACTCTTAAAATCCAAATACATGTTGCTCTAAAACACTGAAAGAATCATTTTAGAAATTTCCTTAAAATGTTAGGTGAGCAATTTAGGCTCCTTGGAGCCTTTGGTTGACAAAATTGCTGCAGAAGTGGTATCATGCAGCACTGCATAATAATGCTGTTCAGTTAGATACATAAAATATAAGTTATATATGATTATTTTTTAGGTCATTTTTACCTTATTAGAAATAAGAGTTTCACATCTGGAGAAGCTGAGGAAGAACCAACAGTTAGATGATGATGACAAAGCATTAATTTACTATTCAATTCCATATGACATCTTCAATCAAACAGATCGAAACATTGTGATGGAATATTTCATCAAACTCAATAATGTGAAGAGTTATGGTTATAATGAATTGGAAGAAACCCCATCAGCATCTGAGGATTCAGCTTATTCATCTGATGTAGATCATGCAAAATCTGTTTCTTCTTAAACTTCCCACCAGTAAGAAATATGTATATAAAGTGTAAAATAAATCTTTTATTTTTATCGTAAAAATTCCTAAGGGTTCCGTGGAACCCAGTGTCTTGCCAAATTTTGCTGTTAGTCGCAGGCTCAACAAAAATGGGTAAAAAATTATTAAAAATTTTCCTCTAGATACTATCTTTTGATTGTAAGAAGCTTCTGTCCAAGTTTGGTAAAAAAACCATGATGGTTTATGAATCTAATAAATGTTTTAAAAACTTTAACTGAAGACTGTATGTAATGTTAACTGGAAGAAAAACTAAGTCCATTTATAAGTAATATATGGAAAAACTGGAAATAAATTTTTACAAAATTTCCTTCTAAATACTAGCTTTTGATCATAAACAAGCTTCTGTCCAAGTTTGGTACAAATCCAGGATAGTTTAAGAAAGTTATTAAAATTTCAAAAACTTTAACCACAGAGTGAATATTTGTGGACACCGCCGCCGCCAACAACGGAATGTAGGATCGCTATGTCTCGCTTTTGCGACAAAAGTTGCAGGCTCGACAAAAATCATTTACAGCAAATTGGATATATAGCAAATATTAGGTTATAACCAAAAGAAAATCCTATTTCAATAAAATCAGATCATCAGATTCATGCAAATGAAATACAGACATTATGTTATTTTTGAGTGATATCCTTTGCAAGCATGTTAAAAATGTATAATTTAAATTTCAAGATGGTATAAAGGATTAGATACATGTAAATTTTGGGATGCATTTGGTTCTGTAAAGGGGAAGGTTCACAAATGGTTAAATTTGACCCTATAAATTTCTCATGATTTTAATCAATCCAAACTATAACATATAAATATAAGAAAGCATGAGTATTTTTTTAATTCTGACTCTAACAATGTTGTTCTTAAAATTGCGAAATTTTGTAAAATTATATTAGCTGTTGTTAATTAATATTGTTTCAACCATTAATATGTCCATTTGAAATTTACTGTATTCCTTAAAACGTATTACTTTTTTACATGTATATATGTTAATGAATGTTTATAATGTTCACTGCATTACTTTGTTATTAGTCCCCTACCAAAGAAGTCGAAGGGGACTATAGGTTTGCACTCCGTCCGTCTGTCAATCCGTCAGTCCGGCAAATCAGTTTTCCACACTTATTTCTTTGCGCTTGAAGATATTGATTTGATATTTGGTGTATCATTTAATCATGACAAGTTACAGATCAAGTTCGAATTTTGTTGCGGTCTGATGATTTTGTGCAGAGTTATGGTCCTTGAACTTAGAAAATTCACTCAAATAATCAGTTTTCCGCACTTTTTTTTGTCATGCTTGACGATATTGATTTGATGATTGGTATATAGTTTTATCATGACAAGTTACAGATCAATTTCGAATTTTGTTCCGGTCTAATGATTTTATGCAGAGTTATGGTCCTTGGACGTAGAAAATTCACTCAAATAATCAATTTTCCTCATTTTTTAGCTCACCTGACCTGAAAGGTCAAGTGAGCTTTTCTCATCACTTTGCGTCCGTCGTCCGTCGTCTGTCGTCCGTAAACTTTTACAAAAATCTTCTCCTCTGAAACTACTGGGCCAAATTTGACCAAACTTGGCCACAATCATCATTGGGGTATCTAGTTTAAAAAATGTGTCCGGTGACCCGCCCAACAAACCAAGATGGCCGCCATGGCTAAAAATAGAACATAGGGGTAAAATGTAGATTTTGGCTTATATCTCTGAAACCAAAGCATTTAGAGCAAATCTGACATTGGGTAAAATTGTTTATTAGGTCAAGATCTATCTGCCCTGAAATTTTCAGATGAATCGGACAACCTGTTGTTGGGTTGCTGCCCCTGAATTGGTAATTTTAAGGAAATTTTGCCGTTTTTGGTTATCATCTTGAATATTATTATAGATAGAGATAAACTGTAAACAGAAATAATGTTCAGCAAAGTAAGATCTACAAATAAGTCAACTTGACCAAAATGGTCAGTTGACCCCTTAAGGAGTTATTGCCCTTTATAGTCAATTTTTAACCATTTTTCGTAAATTTTTGTAATCTTTTACAAAAATCTTCTCCTCTGAAACTACTAAGACAAATTTAACCAAACTTGTCCACAATCATCATTAGGGTATCTTGTTTAAAAAATGTGTCCGATGACCCCGCCCGTGAACCAAGATGGCCGACATGGCTAAAAAATAGTACATAGGGTAAAATGCAGTTTTTGGCTCATATCTCTGAAACCAAAGCATTTAGAGCAAATCTGATGATATTAAATTGTTCATTAGGTCAAGATCTATCTGCCCTGAAATTTTCTTACCAATCAGGCAACCCGTTGTTGGGTTGCTGCCCCTGAATTGGTAATTTTAAGGAAATTTTGCCGTTTTTGGTTATTATCTTGAATATTATTATAGATAGAGATAAACTGTAAACAGCAATAATGTTCAGCAAAGTAAGATCTACAAATAAGTCAACTTGACCAAAATTGTCAGTTGACCCCTTAAGGAGTTATTGCCCTTTATAGTCAATTTTTAACCATTTTTCGTAAATTTTTGTAATTTTTTACAAAAATCTTCTCCTCTGAAACTACTAAGACAAATTTAACCAAACTTGTCCACAATCATCATTAGGGTATCTAGTTTAAAAAATGTGTCTGATGACCCCGCCCGCGAACCAAGATGGCCGACATGGCTAAAAAATAGTACATAGGGTAAAATGCAGTTTTTGGCTCATATCTCTGAAACCAAAGCATTTAGAGCAAATCTGACATGGGGGTAAAATTGTTCATTAGGTCAAGATCTATCTGCCCTGAAATTTTCAGACCAATCAGGCAACACATTGTTGGGTTGCTGCCCCTGAATTGGTAATTTTAAGAAAATTTTGCAGCTTTTGGTTATTATCTTGAATCTTATTATAGATAGAGATAAACTGTAAACAGCAATAATGTACAGCAAAGTTAGATCTACAAATAAGGCAACATGACCAAAATTGTCAATTGACCCCTTAAGGAGTTATTGCCCTTTATAGTCATTTTTTTACAATTTTCATAAATTTTGTAAATTTTTGTAAATTTTTACAAAGTATTTTCCACTGTATCTACCGGGCCAAGTTCATTATAGATAGAGATAATAGTAAGGAGCAAGAATGTTCAGTAAAGTAAGATCTACAAACACATCACTATCACCAAAACACATCACCATCACCAAAACACAATTTTGTCATGAATCCATCTGTGTCCTTTGTTTAATATGCACATAGACCAAGGTGAGCGACACAGGCTCTTTAGAGCCTCTAGTTTTGTCATGCTTGAAGATATTGACTTGATATTTGTTATATAGTTTACACCATGACAAATTATAGATCAAGTTAGCATTTTGTTCCAGTACAATGAATTTTTAACTGGTAGGGGACTATTTATTGCCAGGCAATACTCCCAGAATGCTTGTTTTGTTATATTGTGAATACTAACATTGTATTTGTGTTATTGTTCACATACCCCTGTTGGGGTCTTTGAAAAAATAAAAACTTGAAACTTGAAACTTGTGTTGACAGGCTAGTGATACAGATGTTGGACTACTAAAACCAATTGGCCACAGAGGTCCCCTCGTTCAATAAAAGAGAAACAACATAAAAATGAAGAAGTTTTAGTGAAAATATCTGTAACACAAAAGAATAGTATAGGATAAAATATGTAACAATTTCCTTTGAGTAACATTACTGGAGAGTTATTGTTTGAAACAATTTTTAAAGGGACATTATCTATGAGATGTAAAAAAAATATTACTTTTTTGTTCTTTCAATCAATAATGAAAGTGAAATTGTGAAATAATAATTTTGGTTTAGCAGCTAGTTTAGTTCAATTTTGTCAAATTAAGCTAAGAAACATCGCTGATGAATTATTCACTTGCAAGTGAATAATTCGACCCCCATTGAATCCATAAACATGTGACCTTCAATTTAACCCCTTAGCTGGAGATGGGTGACGCATGTATTCAGCTGTTAACAGGAAAAGAATGTCAACATTGAAAGTGAAACAAGGATGAACCATTTGGTTGACTGATTCAATCCACGAAAAAATCATTCTTATACAGGTAAAAATGATGATAAACATACTTTTTAGTCCCCTACCGAGGAAGTCGAAGGGGACTTTAGGTTTGCACACTGTCCGTCTGTCTGTCTGTCCATCCATCAGTCCGGCAACTCAGTTTTCCACACTTTTTTTCTTCGTTCTTGAAGATATTGATTTGATATTTGGTATATAGTTTTATCATGACAAGTTATAGATCAAGTTCGAATTTTGTTCCGGTCTGATGATTTAGTCCAGAGTTATGGTCCATAAAAAAACTCCATAACTAATGTTAGAATACTATGTTAAACCATATATCTATACAAAGGGAGATAACTCATTTCTTAAAAGACATTCTTTGGTAAATTGTTTGAGGAATTTTGTGGCAGGTTTATATGTTATTTTGTATAAACTAATTTTCTGAATGCTACGTATTTACATGTATATATATATATATTTTTTTTTATTAAGTGAAATCCTTTAATTAGATAATAATCTATTTTTATTAAGGTATATATTATATTACATTACATTGTGCAGATAAAAGTTGTTGACATTTTATAGATAAGTTACAAATCTATATTAGTTTGTGACAAATGAAAGAAAAAATATTTGGAACTATTAATTATATTTGATTGTAATTTGAAAATAGATATACATTGTATTACATCATATCTAATTTTAGAGAAGTATTAATCATATCTAATGTTAGAGTGTTATAGGTTTTCCACAGTTTTTTTCATCATGCTTGAAGATATTGATTGACAATTGGTATATAGTTTTATCATGACAAGTTACAGATCAAGTTCAAATTTTTGTTTCGGTCTGATAATTGTGTGCAGAGTAATGGTCCTTGGACTTGAAAAAATTCACTCATATATTCAGTTTTCCAAACTGTTTTTAGTCATGCTTGAAGATATTGACTTGATATTTTCTTTTTGTTTGCACCATGACAAGTTATAGAACAAGTTAGCATTTTGTTCCAGTATAATGAATTTTTACCCTGTAGGGGACTATGTATTGCCATGCAATACTCTCAGAATGCTTGTTAACATACAATATGAAATCAAACAGACCTTAACAGAAAATCTGATTGCAGGTGGTCCCTATCTATTTATATTTATATTTATGTTTATATCGGATTATAAGACTGTCAGCAGTCTTCAGAGGTCATCTCAGTGGTTAATTAGATGACCTCTAGAAAAAAAAAGGAACAAAATGCTGATACATATGATCGAGTCCATGCATTGTTAATTTCGGTTTATTCTGGGATTTTTGTTATTTGAATATACGTTTTAGTATGTTTTAAATCAAATATGAGAATTTGAGTCAAATTGGTGAACATGAATTTGACAGCTAATGTCCCTTTAAAGGCACTGTGACTTTCTTTGAATGATTTAATTTTAGCAAGGAGGTTATATTAGAAGGAGAGAGGACGAGAGACGCTAATTACACATAAAATGTTGCCGCCTTTTCTGTAAGTGGGTGTTAATAAGTTGAGATCGATTAGGTCGCAGAGGGAGACTTTGTTCTAATTACACATCCGAGTAAGAATGGAAATAGACGAAGTGTTATAAACCGATCGAGATTTTACAAAATAAGCTTGTTAAATAAGTTCAGAAGGCCATATCAAGTGGGTGATAAACATGTCGGTTTCTTAATATTTTTATCATTTTCCTCTGATCTAATTACTATAATCCTGGGGATGCTCACTTTATATCAAGCAGAGTGTTCACTCTCCTTCTCATATTACCTCCTTGATTTTAGTTAGAGTATACATACGTGTCACAGTACTGTTTCTACTTTTGTTTCTACTTTTGATTTTTAATTTATTTGTCATCTGTGATTTTAATATTGTTTGAAGGGCCTGGACGTTTCAGGTGGAGGTAATGATTTTATTTATGGAACTTTGATTTAATCTTGTTCTGAAATAATAACTATATTTTTTTTATAAAGGGTCTCAGATTCATTCTTCACTGAAATATACATTTTCTTTAGTCAACTAATTTCTTATATATAATTAACATTTACTGTTCCAGAGACATATAAAATTGTACATATTATATCTCTAACTTTTCTCCTCCAGAAATAAATATTGATTTTTCTCTTGTCATATTTTCGTTTTTTGCAAAACGAAAGTACAGAAATCTTCGTTTCCTTCCCTTACCCATTTGAATCTTTCAAAATGAAAATTTGATACAGAGAATTTTTTGCAATACTGGACAGTTAAAACAAATCTTTATGGCGTCTAGTGGACAACAGGTTCGAAAACGCCCACTTCCAAGTTATTTTAAAACAGATTCTTCCGACGAAGAAAGTAACTCTTCTTCAGGAGACAATACTTTTGGTCGGTCCGTTGATTTGCCCAAAGATGTTTCAAATTGGACGGTATTTGATTTAGGCAAGCTAGGCATATTCTATGATCGATTTGCTAAGCCGACACCTAACGATGTTCTTCAAATAGTTGCAGATAAAACTGGCGATTACGGATATTTAACTAAAGATCAACAGGAAATTGTAGATGTAATTTTAGAACACCTTGACTTTAATCTCATTATAGAAAAAGAAAAGTTAAAACGAAAACAGTACCTTAAAGGGGAAATTATCAATGAACTTCATTTGACTGCAGACAAAATACAAAATCAACTGGAACATGGATCCCCTCCATCACCTAGTCAGTAAGTTGTAGTCTAAAATTAACCTACCTGTCAATGGAAGCAAGTTAAGTGGTACTATAGTAAGCTCTAATCCCTTTTGGGATTCTATGTCAGGAGCCATGTTCTGATTTGGCCTCAGAAAATCGCTCCTGATACAGAATCCCAAAAGGGATTAGTAAACTTTGACATACCATAGTCATGATAGTAAACTTTTACCATGTTAACTTGTACCGAATCCCGGTCCGTTCACCCTGATTAGCATTCGCCCTAAGTACCTGTTCGCCCTGGGTCCGTTTGCCCTAATTCCTGTTCGCACTGAGTCTGTTCCCCCTGATTTCTATTTCATTTTGTTGTCTTGTATAATATAAATTTTTGAATTAATTATGTTAAAGTTTGTTGAAAATTCCACTGAAATATTTATGTTGTATTGCTGTTACCAGTTAATTATTTTTCTTTTGATTTGCATTGAATATTCTTGCCAGAATATTCAACATGTTGAATATGGGCAGTATTTTGAAGAAGAAGAAGTGTTCAGGAACTGGAGACCAAGTTATCTGTATGAATTTATCTTTTTTGAAACCTTGTAACAATTTCAAAACAATCCAAACAGGTATAGCAAGATCCAACTCGCTCAACATCTTGAGATCAAGGAAGCCAAGCAGCGAAAACAATTTCCCTTCTTTGTCGTACAATTCTTACATCATTGTTTTAACTCATTCCAAGCTGACTTGTTTATTAAAAAAAAAAACAATTTCATTATTAATCCATCAAAAACAATAACTACAACAATCAGTGAGATCAAAGACATCGTAATCATATCTAATCAGCATTCTAAATTACAAAACTTTGAATTTCAGTTTGGGAATACTACTGCTTTTCCACCTCAGAAATATATTACCTTAGCTGTATTTGGCAAAACTTTCAGGAATTTTAGGTCCTCAATTATCTTCAACTTCGTACTTCAATATTTGGCCTGTAACTTTTTTGATTCGAGTGTCACTGATGAGTCTTTTGTAGACGAAACGTGTGTCTGGCAAACAAAATTTCAATCTTGGTATCTATGATGAGTTGATTTATAATCAACAGTCATTAAAAGTAATTCTGAATAAAAACAGATGTAACAATGAAGCCAATTAGACGGATTAATGCTCCAAAACAAAAAACCTTTTTTTTAATTTCAATGTTTATTCATGAATTTGGAGATATATATTTTTAATATTTACCAATTAAATATCTGAATAAGATTACAAAACTTTAAATTAAACCATTAATATTATTTTTTTTATAAAAATTAGGGCGAACGGACCAAGGGCAAACGGACTTTAGGTGTAATACCACCAAATCATAGTACGTCACATCCGTTTGCATACGAAAATAGGTCGAAAAAAAATATTCCCTTGAATTTGACAGTTGTAGGTAATTGATCCTACATTTCATTGCAGTAAAACATTTCTGAGTCATAAACATATATCTTGGGTATTTCAAAGCACCATTATTTCTTTATTTGGGGTTTCTATAGAATATTTTGGAAACTTGAGGTTACATGGTTACTAATTAAAGCTTGTACACAGGTTAAAAAAGGGGGAAAATTTGATTGGTTAACTTCCAGTGATGGTTATTTTCTTATATGCAATGAAATGTTATGTGAAATTTTTTCTATAGTACTGGACAGGATAAAACTTTACTCATGCCAAGTATTTCTTTATTTGAAACAAAGATAAATTCTGCACAATTTTTTGAAAAGTGCAAATTTAACAAAGACTAATAGGTGAAAATCAATGGTGGTATTACACCTAATATGGGAAGCTGTACATGCACCTTTGACCTTGTGAGTACTCTCATGTGTTAAAATTTCTTGCTATTTAAGTGAAATATTACAAATAATGAAATATTCTGAGTGGATTGAGTCTCCAAAATACATTTTATGAGAAAATTTCCTTGAAATAGGACTTTACCATGAATATTAGTTGACAGAACAAGCCATACTTAGAGTCTTGGGGAGCTTTTTCTCCTTATTTCTTATATTCTGCTATACTTGAAAATTTTTCCTAAGAAATACTTTAATAAATATATAGTTTTAAGTAAATGAAATTATTTTTAAAGCAGTAACAACAAATTATTCACCAAAAGAGAAGTTTTTTATGTCCCTCTCTGGAACGCGGCGTAAATTTAAGTTTTACGCAAGGACTTATTGAAACCTCCTTGGAGACAGTAAACTTTTATACGGATAGTTCAAGCAGCTTGAATACTTCAATTAATCATTTATAATAACATTTCTATCATAAATGAGTGAAAGTTACCCCAAAATTTTTATTTATTGGCCTAAAAAGTAGAAATTTTGAGGAAATGAGAGGTATGAATGGACCAAAAGAGACTTTATAAGGAAGAATAAGAGGTCCATTAGTAGTATTTATCATCCTAAAGTCATCTTTTGTATCATATTTAACTGTTTGTAGGCAGATGAGATAAATATTTGATCATTTATTGGTCCACACTATATTCTATCATGATGCGGCTTGGTTTGAATTTTTCGAAGAAATTTTGCTCGAATCGCTGTAGATGTCGTCTTACATTATACTAGATTTTTCTCAAACTATTGAACTGATTATGACAAAACTTGACAGGAATGCTTGAAATAACCAGTATTACAAAGGAAAAAAGTCACATTCAGTTTATTCAACAAAAAAGTCTTCTTTAGGTGTAATACCACCAAATCATAGTACGTCACATCCGGTTGCATACGAAAATAGGTCGAAAAAAAATATTCCCTTGAATTTGACAGTTGTAGGTAATTGATCCTACATTTCATTGCAGTAAAACATTTCTGAGTCATACACATATATCTTGGGTATTTCAAAGCACCATTATTTCTTTATTTGGGGTTTCTATAGAATATTTTGGAAACTTGAGGTTACATGGTTACTAATTAAAGCTTGTACACAGGTTAAAAAAGGGGGAAAATTTGATTGGTTAACTTCCAGTGATGGTTATTTTCTTATATGCAATGAAATGTTATGTGAAATTTTTTCTATAGTACTGGACAGGATAAAACTTTACTCATGCCAAGTATTTCTTTATTTGAAACAAAGATAAATTCTGCACAATTTTTTGAAAAGTGCAAATTTAACAAAGACTAATAGGTGAAAATCAATGGTGGTATTACACCTCTATGGGCGAACGGACTCAGGGCGAATGGACCCAGTGCGAACATGTTATTAGGTCAAACGGACCTGATACCACTTGTACCACTGCAGTCTTACAGATGAAAGCTTGTACCATCATCAACTCTTACCATAAAAAGGTGTCCATTATCACAGCTGTTTAATGCACTGTTTTTAAAATACACAGAGTTATGGGATAAATATTCGTCACCAACAATGTTTTGCTTATATATATTTCATATAAAATTGTGTTTTTTCAAAAATTATTGCGATGTCATTTCTGGTTCAATCAACTTGGTACCAATAGCAGAATTGTCACAGGTTGTTAATTTTGTTGTGATTTCCAATGATATATCATCATGATCATGAGGATTTTAAAACATTAAAAAACACGTATTATTTTCTCTTGAAATTTGCTACATATTTTAGACATTTTCACATCAGGATAAAACGAAAACAACTGCAGAAAAAATTATGAATAAATAAACAGATATACTAGTAGATAGATAGATATGTACAAATGTACATTGTAAAAGCAACTTTGCTTGTTTCTGAATCCTAGATTTATTTCAAGTGTATTATATTACATGTAATACATTTGTATGTGATGATACATCTGAATAAGTATTGTTTGAACCATAGATATTATATCTATGTTTGAACTAAACAGATATACTTTAGACAATTCTATGTTCTGTCTTTCAAAATATGGTTGTTAAAAAAAAATTCCCAACCTAAATGCCTTCAAAATGTTTTATTGAAAAAAATGTGCTATTGTACATGTGCATGTCCATTTGTATACATGTATGAAATATATAGCAAACATTCATAGGTGGCAACTACTTATATTTGCATATTTTTATATATTATAGATATAATTTTGATATTCTCTGTGAGATTATTTACCTATTGAATTTGATTATAATTAATTTATGAGAATTTATTTGACAACTACATGTAGTGAAAGAGTACAAAGTTGTTATCTTATAAAGGAAAATTGCATAAAAAAAAAATACAACGAAACAAACTTACTAACTCTTTGTTTTCGTTATCTAAATTATACCTACTACATGTACCATAAACCATGGAAAAGTATTATGTAATTACAATTTTTGGTCTGATGACTGCTTATCATTTTGTTCAATTTTAAAGATGCTGAACTAAAAAGGTTTGATAATTATTTAGTTGTATTTAAAAATATATTTAAAAAATGTTACAAACTGGCATCTTACATTTTAGGCAATATTATTGATGTTCAGCAGCAAAATGATTAAGATATCTGAAATCAGTTAAAAAAAAAGCGTAGAGAAGCAATATTCTTGCAAGTGATGCATGTTTCTAGAACAACCATCAGGTTTGCACAAGACAAGACTAAGTTTGGAAAGGCAACAGGATATACTCTCGGACTTATAGTCTACCAGCAGCAGTAACAATTATCCCATGGAAGTAAAATATATGTGATATCGATTTTTGTTGACAGGTCACATGTTTCTTGAAATTTTTTTCGGGTGAACTTTATACTAAATGTTTGTATATCCATATCTAAAAAACATGATAAATATAAATTATTTTATGAGTCACTTTGTATGTCTGTGCATTTGTCTGTCATGCCAAGTTTCCATCACATAACTTTTTTGCAATTGAAACTTGGTATGCTGATGCATCATTGACTTGGGTGTATCATATTCAATTTATAAATCAGGTCACTCTGACCTTGACTTTGATATATATTTGACCCCTATTAAAGTAAATCTTTGTTCAATTCATGTCTGACCCATGACTTTTGGATCGTAAAACTTAGGTTAACCAAACTTGGTATGCAGTTGTATCTTGAGCACGGTGTGTGTTATATATTTACCAAAGTCGGGTCACTCTGTTCTTGACTTTAGAACTTAAGATAACCAAACTTGGTATGCTGATGCACAAATGTATGAGTCATGCATCATGGGATAGGGATGTGTCACATATCAAAGTCAGGTAACTAGACCTTTGACCCTTATGCTTGTAAAACATTGTCTGATTTGTGTAGGGTGCTTAACTTTTGTATGGTAACACTTAGATTGACAAAACATTGTATGCAGAAGCATCATGGGATTTGGATGTGTCAAATATCAAATTCAAGTCACCTGACCTTGACTTTGACCTTTGACAGTGACTCCTATGCTTGACATATATTTTTCAATAGACTTTTTTCATTTTAATGACTTTTGACTCCAGAGTATATAATTTTCTACAGGTTACGTACTTTTTGGTATAACATTCTGGTACTCTGTCATGTAAGAACAACTAAAATAAGTAAGATCAAGCTTAAACAATTGGTGGAATTTTGGGAAAAAATTAACAAGGGGCGTAAAGGGGGGGGTATCTGCACGGAAGAACGCAAAATAAAATTGCCATTTCACGATGAACGAACAATTAAAATTTCTTGCACGTTGATCTTTTTACCGATTTAACGAAACACGGTGAATAACGAACCTTTTTCACGACTGCACGTGAAATAAAAATGTCAAAACACGTTGCACGAAAATAACCCTTTACCACCCTCATTAACTGTTGATGATTTTTTTGGTGTATAGAAAACAGAACAGTAATTTTTTCTCCCAAAATTTCAAGGAAAAGGGAATAGAACAAAATTGAATCCATTGCAAAACTAGAAAAAAAAATATATTCATCATCGAGTTTATTTTCTCATCACTTGGCATCCAGCGTCCAACGTCGGGTGTCATCATCTGTTAACTTTTACAAAATTTTCTCCTCTGAAACTACTGGACCAAATTTAACCGAACTTCATTGGGGTATCTAGTTTAAAAAATGTGTCCGATGACCCTGCCTGCCAACCAAGATTGCCCACATGGCTAAAAGTTGAACATAAGGGTAAAATGCAAGTTTTGTCTATAATTTTGAGAACCATTATAAATAGAGAAAATCTGACGGAGGAAAAAATGTTCAGAATGTTGAGCTCTACCATTTGTTCATTGACGTCAAAACTGTCAGGCGACTTTGTAGGAGTTATTGCCCTTAAATAACAAATTTTACCATGTTTGCCTATTATCTTGAAAACTATAATAGATAGAAACTTTAAGTTGAAAAAATGATCAGCAAGACATGATCTACAAATATGTTTCGCATTGTTAAAATCGTGAGTCGACTCCTTATTAGAGTTATTGCCCTTTGATGAAGATTTTTACCATTTTTTTTGCGTATTTGTCTACTATCTTCAAAATTATAATAGATAGAAAGAAACTTAAATAAGCAAAAATGATCAGCAGATATAGTTAGTAGACTGTCACTCTTTATAGGAGTGATTGCCCTGAAATGAGAAATTTTGATACCCTCTTTTGTGTTTTGAGCAAAACCTAAAGAAGATAAAGAGAAAATAAACAGACAAAATGATCAGTGATATAAGATTAACAAAAAAGAGATTATTGTCATGAATTCTATTCTTGTCTACAATGTTGGAGAGTCCATCCATTGTTGAATATGTACATAGACCTAGGTAAGTTGATTAAATTTGAACAAAATTATTTGTCAGGAGAATAAACCCATCCCCCCCCCTAAAAAAAAAATGGTGGATGCCTAATGCTGAAGGTAAATCTTCACTTTGGGGCAATTTTACATTGAGTAAATTAAATTATTTGGAAAGGTAGGTTAGATGGAGGATGAATATAATACAATCTGATAATTCAACTCATTAACACACATTGTTTTTTCTTCTTCAGGTCAGTGATTTACAGACATGCATTAGACTTTATAAAAGAAGTAACACGTTTGGTTTACAAGATGGCAGATTACAACAATTTAGGAAGAGGAACACTTCCAGAAGCATTTTATACATCATTAATGTCCAGTTTTGCAAGACTTTGTCATTTAACACCTGTGTAAGAAAACAGTTATAAAAACAAAACTTTTATATTTAATACATCTTTTATAATGCATCAGTAAATATTAATTTTCAATTTTGATATGTGAAAGTTTATTTATTTGGTTCATTTCTCTATAAGTCGTGGTCTTAATTTATGATATTTTATGACAATGTTATTCCTGCATTTTACAATACAGGTCCATACCTTATTTGACTGACTTGATCCCTTGTATCTGATTAGATTTTGGATTTCATGATTATTTCTCATATACCTACATGTACGTCAGTGACAGTACAACATGTACAATGCACAAGTAAGTACTAGGCAACATGTTTGTCATCATGACCTTAATTTCACGTTTGAATATCTTTGCACTTTGATTAATTTTTCAGAAACCAAGTATGATATATACCAATGACATTTCTGTGGTACAGTCCTCTAATTACTATGGCATTTTTATGTATGAATTAAATTTGTCATCATGACATACATGCAGGGTGAGGATAATAAATCCATGTTTCACATACCACAGTCTTAGAAAAATGCATTCATTGGTTTAGTGCATATTTTAATGTGTCTGTTGTAAGGGAATCATATTTGGTGGGATCTAATTTATTTAAATGACCTGTTGTAAGAGCATTTTATAAAAAATTGCATTGACCAGTTAATGAGGCCTGTAATGATGACATTTGGTAGTAAGCTATGTTTAAACTGTTCATAAAGAAGCATGGATTATTAAAAATAATTTTGCTCTAGTTGTAAATTTCTTAACTGTTTATTATTTTAAATTTATTATACTTCATGTTAAAATGCCAGATTTTGATTGGTTAATACGAGGGAGACAATTTACTCTATCCCATGGCAAATACTCTATTACCCTTCACGGAAACGCTTGCTCAAGTGTGCGCTTTAATAAATACGGATGATTGTTATGTACAAGACGACATAGTTTATTACTTTGAATTTGAAATTTAATCGACAGTAATAGCAGAACATTCAGTATAATAAATTAGATAACACATATCTGGGAGTGTGATAGAGCAGATTGTTACCCCTCGAAAAGACATTCACAGTCAACACTGGCTTCCCCTCAGTTGACAATGTTTTTTCAGGGTAACAATCTGCTCTATCACCCTCTCAGCTATGTGTTATTTATATAATGTTTTTATGATCATGATGTCACTCAAGATTGTGATAGTTTTCACTTTTAAAATTTCAGGCCAGGACAACTATATGAAACCACACTACAAATTGCAGGCGTGAAAGTAACATCAACTCCTGATCTTGTATTAGAGAAAAATGAGGATATCACTTCTCATTCTGTATCATCAATTGTGACCATTGAAGAGGTAAACTTGGACAAATTTGTTAATACATGATTATGTATATTGTTAACTTTAACAACATCTATTGAATATTTTCACTGTATATCATATACATGTAGGATACTTTTTGTGACAGATTTCTCATCTGAGCTATGCTTCAATATAAAGGTTTAAATTTTGCATTTAGCAAGATCATGAAGATGTTGATGAGATGTAATTTTAAAATACATGTATATGATTCATTTTCACACATTTAAACTAATTTGGATCATCGACTACACATAATTTGTATTTTCTGAATATTTACCCGTTTATATGAAATGAAATTTCAGTTTCATTTTTAAAATGTCATTTCTCCCTCCTTAAAATAATTATTTTTAGAAGGCAATTTTGAATCCACCATCCTCTCACCAAATTTCAGGTATATATATAAAAATAAGAAGATGTGGTATAATTGCCAATGAAACAACCTTCTACCAGACCGAATGACATAGAAGTTAACAACTTTAGGTCACCGTAGGTCTTCAACAATGAGCAACACCCATACCGCATAGTCAGCTATAATAGGCCCCGAAATGACAAATGTAAAACGATTCAAACGAGAAAACTAATGGCCTGATTTATGTACAAAATAATGAACGAAAAACAAATATGATATACAGCAAGAAATGACAACAATTGAATTACAGGCTTCTGACTTGGGACAGGCACATACAGAATGTAGTGGGGTTAAACTAGTTTGAAGGCGTCAATCCTTCCCCTAACCTGGGACAGTGGTGTAACAGTACAACAAATGAACAAACTTTAAAAATCAGTTGAAAAGGATTAACTCATCAGATCGATACAAATCAGAAATACATCTAACAAAAACAAAGACCGGACATGGCAGGGTACTTATACATCCCTCCAACAAAAAAAACACTAAGTACAGATCTGAGAGTACTTGCAGTTACTGACAGCTAGTTCAAAGCCAATAACAACTAATAAAAAAAATCATGCATTCAAGACTAAGATATCTTGCTTAAATATTCATTTCAGAAAAAAATTAAAAATAAGTATTTTGCTAGCAAGGCTCCAATTTTTGTATATAAAGTCAGAAGAACAAGTATTCTATTTGAAGTGGCCTATATATCAATAGATATAACCTAACTTCATTGGGGTTTCTAGTTTAAAAAATGTGTCCGATGACCATTATAAGAATAACTTATACTCACCATATCATATGGCAGCAATTGATTACATCTCCAACAAAAGGTGTACTGTAACAGTTGCTTCCATATTTGCAGGGTTGATAGGGTTTTCAAACACAAATCATTAGATTTTTTAGTTGATCCATAACCATAACAGAAAAGATTAATGAACATGATCATGAACTGCATGAAGAAATAGCAAATTGATTTATTGGTAAGCTTTTGTCATTCAAGAAAGATTGGATAACATATCAGTCTTCTATTTTTAAACTTCATAGGTTAAGAAAGCTTCTGTTACAGCAAAAACAGACGAAAGAGAAGGAAATGAAGAAGACAAAAAAGCAAACATCCAACACTGGCTAAGTGATAAAGTGCTTGGACAACATGGAGGAGAACTTCTTTTAGCATGGAATTCTTTGGAAACAGAATTTGTTCCAGGGATGATCTCAGTAGGAACAAAGGTAGAATTTTGAAGAAACATTTACATGTAGATCTATGTTGACCAGTAATATATTTTAGCAAAACTGCAACATGCATGTGAAGTTTTATTAATAAATTTTCGCCATACCTACATACCCTTAATTTTCAATAAACCATTTAACCTATCATTTTTACAGTTTTTGGGATGTGGGATTTCGCTACAGCCAGTCTAAATTAGAAGACTTGCAATTTTCAGAGATAGCATCTGTATATGACTCCAGAAAATGTCCTGCTAATATTTGTATGAACATGTCATTCATTGTCCAGTTGAGTTCATCAGTTGACACATTTATGCAGTGTTTGAATTAAAGGGGCATAAGCTACGAGATATAAAAAAAATGAAATATGATTTTTTTTTTTTGGTTCAATCATTAATGAAAGTGAAATAGTGAAACAATAATTCGCTTTTAACAGCCAGTTTCGTTCAGTTTTGTCAAAATAAGCAAAAAAACATCGCTAATGAATTATTCACTTGCAAGTGAATAATTCGACCTCATTGAATCCGTATTCATGTGAACTTTAATTGATCCCTATAGATAGAGATGGGTTACGCATGAACTAGGCAGTTATTAAAAAGAAATGAATGTAAAAATTGGAAGTGAAACAAGGGTAAACCATTTGGTTGACTGATTCGATCTAGCAAAACTCATTTTTATACAGGTTAAAACGATGATTAACCCTTTCACCGATAGCTGCCCAGACAGAAGCTACTCTGAGACCATGGCTTCCCTGGCTACTATTACTCAAGTGGGAGATCTTCATAATAAATGTCAACAAAAACTTGTCTGTAGTATTTTGTGTCTTTATTTAATTCACTAACACCATGTTCACAGTTTTGTTCATGTTTGTTAATTTTTTCTTCATAAAATATTCAAATTTTCAAATTTTCAGCTTTATCTAGGTGAAATTCTCAAAATTCTACTTTTTGACCCAAAATCGTAATTTTTTTAACCCAAAACGGCAAAATTTTGAAAAATTTAATGAGGCTGTACAAATTCCTTACACTGAACGATGTCCATTCTAAGTGTTTTGTACATAAAACGACATTTTATGTCAAAAAAGTATACTAGTTTGGCTTCAATTCTTCCATATTCTTTCAAAAAAAATGTTCCCTCATTTTAAATTCTCGTTAATTCCGTAAATTTTCTCTGATTTTGACACGGTTTTCAACAAACGGAAGCGCCATGTTTACACTTTCATCCGGGTATTCAACAAAGAAAGATAACTCATGTTTGCACTGTTTTGAGCGGGAAATATAAAAGAGGTATTCCGATCCCGGTAAAACGGGACTCATCGTCAGCTGTCTGAAGCGTGAATCCCGGTAAACCGGGACTCATTGGCGAAAGGGTTAACATATTATTTTAACCTAAAATTTGAAATCAAAAAGACCTAGAAAAATCCAATTGCACGAGTTCGCTATCTGTTTATATCTATGTTTATGTTTATATCGGGTTATATGACTGTCGGCAGTCTTCAGAGGTGAATTTGACAGCTAATGGCCCTTTAAGGTGAATTTGAAAAAATAAAAATAAAACAAATTTTAGGGATCATTTAGGCACAGATTCAGGATTTGAGATTAGAGGGAGCTAAAGCTGAACAAATTTGTGGGGCAAAAACCTTTTTTGATGTGTTTTATGTCTAAAGAAGATTTTTTTGAGATTGTAATGGGAAGGGGGGCTGAATTGTCCCATATCCTTGGATTAGTTCAACTTATATTTGTTACTGGTGAACAAGTTTATTAGAGAAGAAGATGTCATACTTCACTACATAAAAATGTGCAGCATGCCGTATAGCGGGTTATTTTGGCGGGTGTAAAATTTCGCGATTAAGGGGCAACAAAGTATATGAAAAATTTTGGCAGATTCTTTAATCCCAATTAAAGCATTTTTACCAATTTGTTAAAATGTAAACTTTTAGCTATTTATTGGAAAGAAATATAAATATGGGCTGTTTTTGACAATATAATGCACATGCATCAGATAATAGCATCATAAATTCATGCAATATTACTGAAACCTTCACAATTTTAGCATTTGTGCTAATTTTAAGACTGTTTTTGTCCAAAATTGAAGTGGTTGCATGTGTTCAGTCTTAATATTTAAATATATGTTGTATTTGATGATAATACATAACATATATAAAGGTTGAGACTGAACACAAATGCGGCTACTCACATTTTAGACAAAAACCATCTGAAAAGTGACGTTTTATGGCATATTTGATAGATTTTTCATAATTAAGCTTGAATATGAGCGTCTTTAATGACCAAATCAGTCCAAATCTTTTACATAAACTAATTGAATCGACTGACGTAGACACTTAAGTGTTTAAAAAAATGTCAAAAATCTTTCATTAGATGTACTTCGAATAATAGGTCAAAACTAGCCCTTACCGGACCTTCTCCTTCATAAACAAGAGTGCACACACTGAAATGCCTAGCCTACTATACTGACCATTGATTTTATGTTGATAGTCCTACATATAAAGTTTTACTACAAGTACCACATTAACATTTATGATCCAAGAAAATAAGGTCAAGGTCAGATAAACCAAGGTTGAAATACATGTACACCTTTAATACAATCATTCCATACACAGAATATAGATGACCTATTGCATATAGTATAACAGAAAGACCAAACCGTGGAAATTCTATATTGACCAATGAACCATGAAAATGAAGTCAAGGTCAGATGAACCCTGCCAGACAGACATGTACACCTTAAAATCATTCCATCCATCAAATATAGTTGACCTATTGCTTATAGTATCTAAGAAACAAAGTTAACCAGGAAAACTGAACATTGACCAATGAACCATGAAAATGAAGTGAAGGTCAGACAGACATATACACCTTACAATCATTCCGTACACCAAATATAGTTGACCTATTGCTTTAAGTTTAAGAAAAACAGACCAAAACACAAAAACTTAACATTGAGCAATGAACTGTGAAAATGAGGTCAAGGTCAAATAAAAACCTGCCAGACTGACATGTACATCGTAAAATATTTCCATACACCAAATAAAGTTGACTTACTGCATACAGTATTAGAAAAACAGACCAAAACACAAAAACTCAACATTGAGCAATGAACAGTAAAAATGAGGTCAAGGTCAAATAAAACCTGCCAGACTGACATGTACATCGTAAAATATTTCTATACACCAAATATAGTTGACCTACTGCATACAGGATTAGAGAAACAGACCAAAACACAAAAACTAAACTATTACCACTGAACCATGTAAATGAGGTCAAGGTCAGATGACACCTGCCAGTTGGACATGTACACCTTACAATCATTATATACACCAAATATAGTAGACCTATTGCTTATAGTATCTGAGATATAGACTTGACCACCAAAACTTAACCTTGTTCACTGATCCATGAAATGAGGTCGAGGTCAAGTGAAAACTGTCTGACAGACATGAGGACCTTGCAAGGTACGCACATACCAAATATAGTTATCCTATTACTCATAATAAGAGAGAAATTAACATTACAAAATATGTTAACTTTTTTTTCAAGTAGTTACTGAACCATGAAAATGAGGTCAAGGACAATGGACATATGACAGACGGAAACTTCATATCATAAGGCATCTATATACAAAGTATGAAGCATCAAGGTCTTCTACCTTCTGAAATATTAAGCTTTTAAGAAGTTAGGTAACGCTGCCGGATCACTATCCCTATGTCGAGCTTTCTGTGACAAAAGTCGCAGGCTCGACAAAAATAGAAGTTTTTAAGTAGATAAGTGTAATTTAAAAGATAAGAATGTTTTGCTGATTTGTCAATTGTATAACCTCTCTATGATCAGTAATTATAAAACTGGGTGTGTCAGTCATGCTAATTTTACTCTTTTTATTTCAGATATATTTCACATTGCTTCACATAAATTCTGACCATGTTGCTCTTCTTGGACCTGGGGTTATAAATATGAAAGAAGTAAGAAAGCAAAAAGCAACGGTGTATTATTCAGAACCAAAAGACATATTAGTTAAAGATGATAGAAATGCTCTGATTCAGTCAGTGATGAGATTAAATAATTAGTGTATACATTTGTATGTTCTATGAACATAATCATGTGTTTTACTTGATTTTTTTGGCCTTGAAGGATGTTCGCTATTCTGTTTCAAACTAACAAGCTTTTTAAAAGACTTTTATAAATCAATAGTTTATAAATAAAGGAACTGAAAAAGCAGAAAAAAATGAAGGATCCGTGTGCTTGTTTTCGAGATATAAGCCATTGAAAATTTAGCGGGAAATGATTCTCTCTAGATTTTTCATACATTTAACATTGGCACCTTTTTTAGTCCCCTACCGACGAAGTCAAAGGGGACTTTAGGTTTGCACTCCGTCTGTCTGTCTGTCTGTCTGTCAGTCAGTTTTCCACACTTTTTTTCTTCGTGCTTGAAGATATTGATTTGATATTTGGTGTATTGTTTTATCGTGACAAGTTACAGATCAAATTCGAATTTTGTTCTGGTCTGACGATTTTGTGCAGAGTTATGGTCCTTGAACTTAGAAAATTCACTCAAATAATCAGTTTTCCACACTTTTTTTTTGTCATACTTGAAGATATTGATTTGATAATTGATATATAGTTTTATCATAACAAGTAACAGATCAAGTTCGAATTTTGTTTTGGTCTGTTGATTTTGTGCAGAGTTATGGTCCTTGGACTTATAAACCATGACAAGTTATAGATCAAGTTAGCATTTTGTTCCAGTACAATGAATTTTCAATTGGTAGGGGACTATGTATTGCCAGGCAATACTCACAGAATGCTTGTTCTTTTTAAAAAACTTTGAAAAAATAACAAGGATTTTATAAGATTTTCAAATATGGCTTTTAAAACTATATGCAATAATATTATGAAAAGAAAAGTAGGGGTTAGCAGGCAAAATTTGTTATTGGCAATAGATGGATAAAACCAGAGGATACCGAATATCTGGCAAAATTTCAAAAACAAGAGTAGCGAACATCCTTAAGTTGGATAGAGCTTTCTTTGAAAAATCCTTTTTTGACTGTTGTCTAAAAGATATAAATGAGCTTAGTGTTTTCCTAAGACAATTTCAGCTCTGTGATAGTTAGTGCTATAGTATTTTTTCACTGAACTATTGGACTGAATGTAAGGCTATCCAAAAGGCTGTTTAAGAATCTAAAGGACTATGGGTAATTTTATTGTTCGTACCCCAAAATGAAAATAACGTCACTTCACTGGTTGAATTTCAATTGTTTAGAACGTTTTTAACCAATCACAATGCTTTGGTGTACATTTTTGAAAATATTACCCAGAGTGCATTAGATTCTGAAACAACAAATTAAACTGCAGCATAATGAGATTTGTTTTTATTAGTCCCCTACCGACGAAGTCGAAGGGGACTTAAGGTTTGCACTCCGTCCGTCTGTCTGTTTGTCTGTCTGTCCTTCTGTCAGTCCGGCAAATCAGTTTTCCACACTTTTTTTCTGCATGCTTGAAGATATTGATTTGATATTTGGTATATTGTTTTATCATGACAAGTTACAGATCTATTTCGAATTTTGTTCCGGTCTGATAATTTTGTGCAGAGTTATGGTCCTTGGACTTGGAAAATTTACTCAAATATTCAGTTTTCCACATTTTTTTTCGTCATTCTTAAAGATATTGATTTAATAATTGGTACATTGTTTGATCATGACAAGTTACAGACCAAGTTTGAATTTTGTTCCGGTCTGATGATTTTGTGCAGAGTTATGGTCCTTGGACTTAGAAAATTCACTCAAATAATCAGTTTTCAGCACTTTTTTTCGTCATGATTGAAGATATTGATTTGATAATTGGTATATAGTTTTATCATGACAAGTTACAGACCAAGTTTGAATTTTGTTTCGGTTTGATGATTTTGTGCTGAGTTATGGTCCTTGGACTTAGAAAATTCACTTAAATTATCAGTTTTCCACACTTTTTTTCGTCATGCTTGAAGATATTGACTTGATATTTGTTATATAGTTTACACCATGACAAGTTATAGATCAAGTTAGCATTTTGTTCCAGTACAATTAATTTTTAACCGGTAGGGGAATATGTATTGCCATGCAATACTCTCAGAATGCTTGTTATGTTTGAAATTTCATATGCTGACCTGATAATTTTTGAACACACACATACTTGAAATTTGTTGTATATTTAAATTGTGAAATTTTATTAAATTATACTATAATTTTGCATATTAACATGATTAATTTCAGCTATTAATGGACCACTTTGATAAAAGATAACTTAACAATAATTTAAGCATTAGATGTTTGTTTCTGAAACTTAATTGTGATTTTGTGTATTTGTATTGTACATGCTGCATTTTTTTCAGTTCATAATAAAATATTTTTTACTTAAAACGATGTTCTTTCCCAGACATTTATTATCGATTATTTTGACCAATTTTACTGTGTTTACCTAAGGATTGAAACCTATCATAGATAGACTGAAACTTTAAACAGCAAATTATCAGTAATCACAATATATACATTTCCCCCCCTTTTTTGCTTAGTACATTAAAAACTAAAATGGAAACTGTCCAGCAAAAATGACAAACAAGGCAATATTTAAGCCCTCACAGTTTCCATTCTACACCAATATTTTTGTTTGCCTTTTTATTAACTTTGTGCAAAATGCCAGGTGAGCAATAGATGCTCCCTGGAGCCCAAATTTTAGACATAAGAATTTTAATTTCTCAGGCAGTATAATCCTCACGCAATTACTGATAAACAAGACAATTTCACTATTGTAGACTTTCCTTTCTTGATTGTAATATTCAATAGGCTTCATTTCTCAGTAGGTTAAATGTGTTGCACAGTGACTTAAATATGATTCACTTTAGCTAGATGTCTGTAGCAAACACAGTTTGACACTGTTTTCAAAATTATGTGCTGTTTAGTATTTCCTTGTTCAAGATAGTGGTCATCCTATTGGTACATGCAGCTGAGATGTGCAGATTTACATTGTTTATTTTTTGTTGTACATCTTATGGTGTAGATAGACAATAGAGAAATGTTTCTATATATGCATGTAAAACTGATTTAACAGCACCACATGGTGTGTATGTTCCAAATGTGGACCATGTGTTGTTGTTAGTATAAAAATAAGGAGATGTGGTATGATTGCCAATGAAACCAGAGTTCAAATAATGAAGATATAAGCAATTATAGGTCACCGTATGGCCTTCAGCAATAAGAAAAACCTATATCATATAGCCAGCTATAAACGGCCCTGTCATGAAAAATGTGGGACGATTTTGTCCAATTCAAATGAGAAAATAAACAGCCTTTTTTGTACAAAACAATTTACGAAAAACAAATATGACAGACATGAACCAACAGAAACCGCTGAATGACAGGCTCCTGCCTTGGGACAAGCACCCCAAGAACATGTCTGGTTTAAACTTGTTTGAGTGCGCTCCATCCTTCCCTTACATGGGACAGTGGTGTAACAGCTCAACATAAGAACAAACTGTAAAAATCATTTGCAATTGGCTAACCTAAATAGATCAATAGGAAGGGGAAAGAAAAAACAACTAACATAAAAACAATAGATACAAAGCAACAATATAAGAGTATTCACAGTTACTGAAAGCTGTTAAAAAAATATATTTTTATACGACCGCAAAATTTTTGTGTCATTCTGTCATACCACAAAAGGAACGTTGGAATTGATTTTGGGGGTTATTGTCCTAACTGTTTAGGAATGAGAAGTCAAAAACAAGCGTTTATCTTGTTTCAGGACAATAACTTGTTTTTGAGTGTATGGATCTCTATGAAATTGTACCACAAAGTTCCATACCTCAAGAGGAAGGTTGGGGTTGATTTCGGGGATTATTGTCTGAACTGTTTAGGAATTAGGGGCCAAAAAGGGGTCAAAAACAAGTTTTTTTCTTGTTTCAGGACAATAACTTGTGTAAAAGTATATGGGTTTCTATGAAATTGTACCATAAGGTTTCATACAAAAAAAGAAGGTTGGGATTGATTTTGAGGGTTATGCCCCTAACTGTTTAGGAAAAAAGGGGCCAACAACAATAAATTTTTAATACTTTGTATAAATTGCTTATTTCTTGACCAATTTCAATAGGGTTTATTCGGAGTCTTGAATCCTTAGGGATCTTTAATCTGCTGAATCTAACCATGTATTTAGATTATAGATTTTGGGTCCCGTTTTTAAATTGTTCCACATTCAGGTCTTCAGGATCCTAAATAAAACTTCGTTTGGTTTCATCAAAATTGAATTATTGGGTCTCTTTGATATGCCAATTTTAACCATGTATTTAGGTTTTTAATTTTATGGCCCGTTTTCAAATTGGGCCACATCTAGGTCCAAAGGGTCCAAAATTAATCTTTGTTTGATTTCAACAAAAATTGAATTCTTGGGGTTCTTTGATATGCTGAATCTAACTGTATTGAGATTTTTGATTATGGGCCCATTTTTTTATTGGTCCACATTAAGGTCCAAAATTAAACTTAGTTTGGTTTTAACAAAAATTGTATTATTGGGGTCCTTTGATATGCTAGATCTAAACATGTATTTATATTTGATTTTGGGCCCAGTTATCCAGTTGGTCCAAATCAGGGACCAAAATTGAACTTTTTTTGTTTGATTTCAACAAAAACTGAAAACATGGGGTTCTTTGATGTGCTGAATCTAACCGTGTATTTAGATTTTAAATTTTTAGGCCCCGTCATCAAATTGGTCCTTATTGAGGTCCAATGGGTCCAAAATTAGACTCTATTTGATTTCATCAAAAATTGAATTCTTGGGGTTCTTTGATATGCTGAATCTAACCATACATTTAGATTTTTGATATTGGACCATAATAGGTAAATGTCCAATTTCAAATTTTTTTTAATTCTTAGACCACATTCATTCTGTGTCAGAAACCCATGCTATGTCAAATATTTGATCACAATCCAAATTCAGAGCTGTATTGCACAATTAATAGAAATTGTAAGTAGATTCATAGTTAGAAATAGATATAGCATCAAATTCTATTTTCAGAGAAGAAATTATGTATAGATATAGTTTGAAATTTACTGTTCATTATTAGATATTTTGAAAAATAATTCAAGGTAAGTTTTTATAGATTTTTGAAAGACATTGTATTAATGATGATTGATATTTTGGAAATGTTGTTTTTCCCTTTATTTTGAAAATGTTTTGGACTTCGTGGTAGGTTTGTTTGTTATTCTGTATAAATAATTTTCAGAATGCATATATAAATATATTTTTGATGAAGGGAACCCCAATAAAAAGGTAGCTAATATTGTCCATTTATAAATAGATTAATTTAATTTTTGGTGTTCTTGGATATGCTGAATCTGACTGTGTATCTAGATTATGGATATTGGACCATAATAGGTAAAAGTCCAATTTCAAATTTTTCAGTTCTTTGACCACATTCATTCTGTGTCAGAAACGTATGCTGTGTCAAATATTTAATCACAATCCAAATTCAGAGCGGTGTCAAGCTTGAATGTGTAGTATCCATACTTGCCCCAACTGTTCATGGTTCAACCTTTGCGGTCATATCAAGCTGCTTCCAGCGGAGTATTTTATTTCATATAAAAACATCTTTTTTTTATATTAAATTAATTATTATTTGATAAAGAGTTTTTTTACATTAAAAAATAGGAAAATAAATTTCCGTGTATGATGTAGTCGGACAAAACAGTTAGATAATATTATAAATATTGACGCTCAAAATAATAAGTTTTTGTAATTATTATTAATTGAATGGTCATTTTTCCTTTGACCTTCGAATGATTGACTGTTGTTGTCTAAAGAGTAGCACATTAACAGGAGGATTTTTATGTTATTGAACTTTTATAGCACCACGGTGACCGCTTGTCAAAGGAAAAAACCCAAGGAGCATTAAGTTTGAAAAGTACATTAAATTCGAAACCAAAAGTTGTTATTAAACTGTGTGATTTCTGTGTTGTGAGTGTTGTATGCAATAATATCTTTAAAAGTCTTTCTATTTTTTTTAAAAAAGTACGTTATTTTAACCTACAGGAATAACTCATTATTTTTCTACTGTAAATTTTATTATGAATAGATCACATTTTAACCAGTCGGAATCGGGTTTATTCGCCCGATTAAACCTGGGAGCCACTCAACAAAATCTGAAATATTTCTATGTAAATAATTTGAATTATAACAAAATTTGGAATAAATCAAATCAAATCAAGTTTATTTTGCAAAACAGGCCTCCAGCCTAAGTTACAATTACCAAATTCACAATTTATAATTATAATGCCATCTACAGATAAATAGAAACAAACAAACAAACAATAAATACACACACAAATATTAATATGTAAAATATTATACTTGTAATAATTCACCAAATATACTATAATTATTCATAAAGTCACCAAGACAATACTTCATCTTAAAAAAAGGCATCTATTTTTCTATGTAGATCTAGAAAGATTTTCAATATTTAACAGTCATTAGCTTTAAAGAGACTCTTGTTTAGAGCTTTTCACAATGCATGCTTAATGGTTTGTCTGTTCCGGGCTATTGGAAAAATAAATTACGAAATATTTGAAATAGCTTACAAATTTTGATAGGTCATTTTAAAAGTACCACTCCTACAAATTTGTACCTGATCGATTGATTCCATCAAAAAAAAAAAAAAAATCAATGAATGCACAAAACAGGACAAACTTTTTCTAAATTAAATATTTATAAATATACTACGGAATGATATTATCTATTGTGGAGTAACCACTGCGAAAACTTGCTTCCTCTTCTATTATATGTTCAATTAATTCTGACCATAATTTAATCTAAAATTACAAATAATACCCATACAAATTCTACTTATAACACATAAAAGTGAGATAGGACGGTAATTTCTACTTTCATTTCTATCACATCTGTTAAACAATGTAATAATATGCCAAAATGCCAGATTTTGATTGGTTAATACGAGGGAGACAATTTACTCTATCCCATGCCAAATACTCTATTACCCTTCACGGAGACGCTTGCTCAAGTGTGCGTTTTAATAAATACGGATGATTATGTACAAGACGACTGTTTATTACTTTGAATTTGAAATTTAATAGACAGTTATTATAGGATTAAACGCCTTTTTAAAGGAATTTATTGGTGTATAAACTGTACCAATTCACTCACAAACAAAGTCCGAAGGACTTTTATGACATGTTTGTGAGTGACTTGGTACAGTTTATACACCAATAAATTCCTTTAAAAAGGCGTTTAATCCTTATAATTCTTTAAAATTGGCGATAAGGAATGTATTTCCACACTTGTAACCTCTATCACACGTAAATTGTATACGTGTGTCATTGAATAGGCCTGGCGCATGAATATATTTGTTGGT